TAGTCGTCCACGTAGTCGGCAGTCCAGACGTGTCCGAAGCGGTGGAAGGGGAAAACAATGCAGATTCTTCAGCCTCACCTACCGTAACTGCTGCGACGCCAGCGACAGCAAAATCCCCGGCAAAACGGACACCCAAAGCCAAGCCTGTTTCTGCTGTATCCGCGACCAAGGCGGCAAAGGCTTCCACCACAAAATCCGCACAGAAACGGCGCATCTCTGCTCATCAAACGCCCACTGGGGCAAATACAAGTGGATTACCGAACGCTAAACGAGGCAAGCGCGTCGTATCGGGAGGCGCTACACCTGGCAATTTTGATGGGGCAAGTTCGTCCTCCCCTACTGCCCGCCGTCGTGTTGAGGTAGATGATCTGTTGGCATCATTAGCTGCGAAGCGTGCACCCAACGCGATCGCCTTGCTGGATCGTCCAGTGGTGACGCGGCCCGAGACTCAGGCCATCGACATGAATTCGCGCTCCAATACATTGGCCGATCGCGACATTGTGCCGTCGGAGTTGACCTTTGGCTTCCTTGGACTGGGCATGATGGGCTCGACTATAGTTAAGGATTTGATATACACAGGGCACAAGGTTGTGGTCTGGAACCGCACTATCGACAAGGTGAGTGTTCACACGTGCTGCTAATGCTCTTGAATGTTCTTATCAATTATTTTGATCAGTGTCAGCCATTTGTCGAAGCCGGTGCCGAAGTTAAAGACACTCCCATGGATGTGGTTGAGGCGGCCGACATTATCTTCTGCTGTGTATCGGACCCCAAAGGCGCCAAGGATGTGAGTTGGAAATTGTATGGCTAATTTCTATTGAGCTAAATGAAATGCTCTTTGTACACGCTTTCAGCTCGTTTTTGGGAACTGCGGCGTACTGCAGCTAAAAGATCTGCGCAATAAGGCGTACGTGGAAATGTCCACCGTAGATCCAGACACCTCCCTGGACATTGGAGAGGGAATCAAGCAGTGCAATGGGCGATACCTGGAGGCACAAATCCATGGCTCGCGTCAGGAGGCAGCCGATGGTATGCTCATCATACTGGCAGGCGGCGATCGTACGGTATTTGAAGAGTGTCACTCCTGCTTCAAGACCATAGCGAAGAACACCTTCTTTTTGGGGAGTAAGTAAAGAATCCCACCGTCTTATCGGTACTCTACCTTCGAGTGTGAATTGAGCGCTATATTAAGTTTGTCCATTGTTCCCCAGCAGATGTCGGTAATGCCTGTAAAGTGAACCTGATTTTGCAGACCATTCAGGCTGTGAGCCTGGTAGGACTTGCAGAGGCGTTAGCATTGGGTACGTCTAGAACTGAAGCCATCGACTGGGCCATTGGATAACCTGTTTCGTTTCCATTACATTTATTTGCAGCTGATCGTTTTTCCATTTCGTTAAACGATATCATAGACATTTTCGACTTGACTTCAATGAAATCCCCACTGCTGCTGGCTAAGGGCAAGGGTATGTAAATACCACTATTTTCACGTACTTTTATGTTAATGTCGCATGTTATGTTTGTTACACTCTTCCAGAAATGGCAAAGGGCGACTTCAATCCTCAGCAGCCTTTAAGTCACATGCAACGGGATTTGCGTCTAGTGCTGAATATGGCAGAGAATCTGGATCAGTCGATGCCTGTCACGAGCATTACGAACGAGGTGTTCAAGCACACCAAGCGCTTGGGCTACAGCGAACACGATTCGAGCGCCGTATTCGTAAGATCCAGATTTTAACATTTAGTTAACACAGCTACAATTTAAACTATACTTTATCATTTAGTTTAAACCGAACACCGAACAGAACTTACAGCACGTAGACATTGACGCAAAACATGCTCACCCACAGACTCACATACTATACTGACAAAGACGTTCGATATGCAATATCAATGCATATTTGTATGCGGATAATTGTTGTAGCTTTTTCAAATGAAATGATAGAGCAATTAACCGCTTTTTCTATTGCTATTGTCATTTGCAACGTTATCCTAACCATTAATATCCTCCCACATACAAAAATAGGGTTACTGCTATGCAGATCAAAGCTTAAAGAAAAAATCCGACCCAATCAAGGTAGTGGCGTGCATGCACTCCACACCTGGGCAGAGCCAGAACTAGGTCAATGCCATTGCATGATGAAGGGGCCGGCTGGGGAACAGGCTAAGCAGGAATCAACAAGTGGCAGATCAAGAGGAGCATACGATTACACGAACAGACATACCTTTGGCCACTTAAATTTTTACAGGCGGACCACATCCATAAGTTGTGCATTATATACTTTTTTAATGTTTTCGTTGTATTTTTTGACTTGGTTTTTTGGACCGCGTGCTGGCTATGCGCGCGTTGCCCCAGCAATGAATGAAACGAAACCCCAAGGAAAGAAGCAATCTGTATTTTAGGGCGCTTGTTTTTCGATGTTATGTATGTGCATGTTGCTTCCCACATAAGAATAAAGTAATGCATACATAATTGTAAATGTATAGAAACACCACATGCGAATAAATTGTACAAAAATACTTGAAATCACACAAATTTTTGACTGTAGTATACCGAACCGAACCCGGCTGAAGGATAGTCCCCTCTGCAGCCAACCATTTTTAACTACTTATTTATGCATTTATCCAATCATTTTAACAATATATTTTTTGTAAAACATAACCCTTTGGTTTAAATGTACACGCACCCGGCACAAGCAACACATTTTAAATTTTGTCATAGAATAAATAGTAAGCGAAAGAGTAATAAATACCGCGCATGGGCGTGGGCCAACGACAGTTTAGTAGATAGTTGTCTCCTTTATAATATGAATAAAACTGAAACATAACATAATAAACAGTAGCTCCCCATAAACGGAAAATTCAAACAAAATAGCGTAAACTTTGAGCGCCACCACTGGCCAGGGTCAATATTAATAATAATAAGAATATATAATAAATAAATATATTTTACTTATTATTTAGTCTGTATTTTGTTGTAAAACAAAGATTAATAAAACATAATTTTAATAGTAATCGATGTAAGAAAATGCAGATGTTTTAATGACTGGCAAGTAATGTCTCCAACATTTTGGATCCTGGGTTGTATCTTAAATTGAATTATCTCGGATTAACTGGAAACACAAGTGGATGGCATACCGTAACAGTTGTACGCAGTTTAGTGGAACTTCAAATAAGGTAGCATTGTAAAACATTCTAAAGTAGTAAACAAAACCAAAAGAGGGAAAATTCAAATTAAGTATGTAAGTACCAAAACAGTTCCTTAAAATTGAACAAAACTTACACAGAGCGTTCTCTTTTTTCCACTCAATGGGTTGGTGTTTTTACAATTTAAATAAAGAATTAAATTGTTCTTAAATTTTCTTAATTCTTAAATAAAAACCACAAAATTTGATACGTTTGGGTTATCTTTTTTCATTTTTCGTTTTTTTTTATTTTTGGTTAGCCATTTTTGAGAATTTTTTTGAATTTTGGTAGCCGTTTGGTGGGATATTTGCTCTCTTTTTTCCCTCCTTCATCGCAACAATGTCGTATGCGGCTGGCAACATTTAATTTGTATGGGCTAGACTCATGTGCCCAGAGAACGAGCAGCACTGTCCCGCAACATGGCGCGGATTGCAACATTTTGCATACCCTGGAAATTGATTTTATAGAATTATAGAATTGAGAATATGCCTAAAACATATTAATTTGAGATCATTTCTTTATAAATAACGTTTTAAAAACAATTCGGAAAACAGGATCTTCATATTAAATTAACGAAATAGGGTATACAACGGCTATACACGCATAACGTCTTCAAATACCAGCAAGATTGAGACTGTTTTTTTGTTGATCTATTTTGTTTAAGCCTTGTTTTAGTCAAAATTCAAAAGAAGCAACGGCCTAAATCAATGGCCTAAGATTATGTGCAGAACTAACTAAAAGCAAGTATTTAGAATAAGCCATTTAAGTAAAAAATTGATTTATAAATCTTATAAAACTACGTGGGCATGGCAAAATGTTTTATCTAGCTAGTAAAATTCGAAGGAATATCAAAAACGAGGAATATAGAACTTGAATTCGTCATTATATTTACGGTATATTTTTTTATGAGACGGTGTATTTTGGTATATTTCTGAGGGTCGGACGGTATATTTTAACGATAAACCCGCGGTCACACTGGCTGTCGTGCATGTGTGGCAGAGATAGTGTCAAAATTTTAATAATTTCTTATAAACAATTGATTTGAAAGCAGTAATTGGGATTACCTGAGCCACTATGTCGGAGAAGAAACGTACGCGTCGTCGCAAAGATGTAAGTGCTGGCCAAGACCAATCTGCGTCTTGGCCAATGTGTGTGTGTGTGTGTGTGGTAGCCACAGTTCAATTGGCGTGCTGTTTTTGGTTGTTGTTTTGATTTTGCAAACGGGTAAACATTAATTTAAAACAATTACGTGGTCAGTGGGATGTGCGATCATATGTCACATCTAATCTGTAGTTCTTCATATGCAGGGGTTAAGTTCTATGCACTCACAGCCACACATATGTGTGCGTCCTTTCCTCGTGTCAGCCCGCATGCAGCCGGCTATAATTAACTTTCCCCGCACCACTGCACCCCCTGCTGAACAGAATATTGGAGTTTAATATATTTGGTGACATTCCGTTCCTCTTTTTTTCCTGATGTGCAAATAAACAGCTGTGCGCTTGTTATCCACCTGGTGGCAACACTGCTGCTAACCGTAAATTTGTAAGCTATACTTGTAAGCTGATCTCGCTCTCTCTCTCTCTCTCTCTCTCTCTCTCTCTATCTGAATTACCCACACTTGTCAGGTGCTCCCACTTATCAGCTGTTGTTGTTGTTGGGGAAAGTTTCAATGGGTACATGTAGTATGTATATTTGTGTGCGTTTGTGTTGATGTTGTGATCGAGACTCGTTTGACCAGACACTAAGCGTTGCTAAGATTCAATACTTTCTAGACCCTCGCAGCGATTGCAACACGTCACAGCTAAGAAAAACATTTTCTGGCTGAGAGACGGGTTATAGTGCTTGATAAGTTTACTTTATTTGCGAGTTAAATAATAATAGTGTCCGTGGAAATGAGCGAGGATGAGCGAATTGTTGGAGATGCGGAGGAGGAGGAGGAGGAGCAGGAGATCTTCGACGATGGCATGGTATTAAGGCGGGGGTTGGGGTCTGTTAACATTCATTTGTAGGCCAGAACCACTTGGAGCAGATGAGAGTGCTTGAGTGTGACGGGAACTAAATTTGTGTCGTGGCCTATATTTGCCTGTGCTACGTCGATCGTAGCATGGGAAAGTGAGCTGGTGAATTACATGTGTACATACATTGACATCAATTTTGTTTTAGGAATATGCCGAGCCCGGACAACAGAAGGTGGAGAAGCCATCGAAGGACGAGAAGAACGTGGCCAAGTGGCTGAAGAAGAATGTCAAGACAAAGAAAACCAAGTTCTTAAGCCACGTTGTCGAGTACTTCACCTCGAGCAAGGCCCTGGATGCTCTGATGAAATCTAAATTTACCGAAGGTAACAATCCACTCTTCACAACCCGTGAGCAGGCCGTGGAATTCATGGACGTTATGCTGGAGCATAAGTTTTTCCACCGCGCCAAAAAGGTGCCCGTTACGCTGGACGAGATACGGGGCAAATCTGCTGAGAAAAAGGGAGAGATCAAGGAAAAGGAAAAACCAAAGGACGATAAGAAGGACACCGATCTGGAAGCTGACAGCGGCAATGGCGATGGTCCCTCAGTGACCGCTGAGAAAGATAAGAAGGAGAAGAAGAAGCGTAAGATACGCCTGGATATGCATCCGGAGCAAATCTTTGTTGACGGTTCTGAGGCGTATGTTTGGATCTACGATCCCATACCACTACACTATTGGATATTCGGCTTCATCCTCCTCCTGGGCGCCGTGGGCATCTGTCTTTTCCCCCTCTGGCCGCCACTGCTGCGCAAGGGCGTCTACTATCTCTCCATAGCCGCGGCAGGCTTCCTTGTTTTCATTCTGGCTCTGACTGTGGTGCGCTTAATCGTGTTCACCATAGTCTGGGCTTTGACTGGTGGTAAATTGCATTTCTGGATCTTCCCCAACTTGACCGAGGATGTGGGTTTCTTCGCCTCCTTCTGGCCCCTTTATGAGGTACGTGCCTTGCAAAAAAGAATCTTAATTAAAACTCAAATTTAATATACTGTAAACAGAGCAATTACGGAAGCGATGCTGCCAACTCATCCTCTAAGACCGACAAGAAATCTAAATCAAAGGCAAAGAAAAAGGAAAAGGACAGTGACGCCGAGGATACAGCTGTGGATGCGGATGGGGACGCCGATGAGGCGGAGGTCTCCACTTTAGAGCCAGAGAAAATTGAGCTTATTAAAGAGCACGATGCTGACCTGGAGGTTCGCAAACGTCGCAAAGTTGGGGCCGACGAGTACGAAGACGACGAGGAGCCGCAGGCTCAGCCCGAGGAGTCCAAAGCTGGGTAAGCTGGGGTCCGCTTTTTATTGACAAGGAATCTTGATGTGTTGCTCGAATTTATTATTTATGATTGTGATGACGTTTTCGGGTTTTTTTTGTGTTTGTTTCCTTCATAAAAAAACAAATTGCGCAAACTACATGCATTAAAGTTAGCTCATAACTGTATACTTTTGTTCCTTAATAAATATTACTGTATAATTTCAATTATTGCATTAATCTTTTTTGTTTGATATGCTTAGATCGCGTTCATTACATTATCCATGTAGTCTTTTTTTCTAGAGCATGCCATTTGTAAATACATGTGATTTCAGATAAGTGAAGCCTGAATGGTAATGGCAATGGTAATGGTAGATGGTTCTCAGGATTTGCATATTTATTATTTATTAAAATCGATCAATTCATTAACTTCATTCCCTCACATTTACTTGTAAAGTAAAGAAGAGTTGGTTTCATGCCGCTGCTGAAATCGAATCGTCGTACCCCTTGCTCCCTTGGTGGAGCTCTAACAGAATTCATGGTTTGTGGTCATTTAGGTGTGGGGAGGTCCATGCTCAAGATTACCCTTTCGCTAAGCTGAGTAAGTTCTCCAATTTTATTATTTTTGCATCATTTTTACACTTTTTACACTTATCCTTGTCAATAAGAGTTTTCAAAATGTGGCCTTTCTCAGTAGCGTACACTTTGTCTGCTGAACTACTTACTGATCGCATCTGTTTTCCCTTTCAGAACACCACGCAACTCGGAGTCGGATTCGGAGAGCTCCAGCAAAGATTACGAAATAATTAGTTCGAGTGAGGTGCAAAACGTTGCTGGCAACTAAGAATGGAATTAAATCTTAATATGTAGATTTATAGTTAATGCTCCAAATCACATCTAGCTAATTGATAAGACAGAACAAGAATCACACATCAAGTACATACACACATCAACACACCCATACTCATGCACGCCCCTCTTTGCGTGCATGTCTGCGAGTATATTCCAAGTAAAGTGAAACATCGGATCTGACCTCCACGGCACGAGTCCCCGGGTCTTTGATCGTGAGTTTCCATTTGATAGTCTCAATTTTATTATACGGCATCAGCCGGGTCTCTCTCTGATCGTCACTTTAAGTTTCAACACAAGAATGTTGTTTTTGTTTTTGGCTGCAGTTGAGTACATATTGCGTATTGTGTAGCCGAGTTTCTGTTATTAGCTGGCAGCCAGTACACAAGTTTCGAAACTGTTTTAGCCAATTATTATTTTTGTTTTGACTTACAATTATGTAAATGTATACAAAGGAGCACCGGGCAAGGCGGCCTTATTTAGTTGAGTGCAAGCAACAATTGCAATTGATAATAATATTAACGAGTACACACAAGTACATATTGATGTGCATAAATATTTACTTTAAATGTAATTAAAGCAGAACTAACATCTACATAAATGAAATTAGTAGTGTAACACGCAATTAACTATTATATAAATAAAGCTAGGCAATTCTGATCTGATCTGATGTGAGAGACACGAGTATTTGAGCGTTTTGTAGTTCTTGCTCGAACGTTTTATTAAAAAATATACATACAACTCATAATTCGTCTTTGAACTGTCTTTCCATGTGTCGTTCCTGCTTCAGCACGGAGTTTAGCACTCGCCACGCGTGTCGTGGCCAGACCAGGCCCAAGATAATAGCACATCCGGAAAGCTGCAACATCGATTTCAGAGTGTCAATGTTCGGACCGGACCCAGTCTCTGCTTCATACTCACATAAATTATGAAATAGGCCAACCAGTAAACCATCCAATAGGCCAAGCTCGCGAGTCCGCTAATGAAAGCCGCCACGGGATTGCGATAACGCACCCGAATGGGATATTCTGTTGATTGCATTCTTCTATGGCTTGCAGATCTGTACTGCAAAAAAGCGAAGCATCGAGTCGTATTCAAGGCTAGTGTTTTGTGAAAATAGAAACGATGGAACAAGAAAACTAAACTGGGACAACAAACAAAACTCCTAAGCGAGACATTAACGTCTTTGAAGAAACCTCTCTAGTTCTTTGTGTGGTCCCTCAATCAACAAACTTATTTGGAACATTCTACTTTTCTGGCAACTAATTTTTAAGAGCTATGGAGAAATCGACGTGGATCCCAGCTTTTATGTTTCTTCATGCGGAGTCAGCAGCTGAATTGGCTTTGTCATCATCTCTTCAAGTTTCACCTTCAGCAAATATTCTCTCCGGTTTTCTTGCTCCGACTTCGTCTCTGGAGGATTGGACTTGGGCTTTACGAGCATATTGAATCTGCGTTCCAGCGAATGCTCCCTCCGGATTCGTCTCCCTAGCTTCACCTCAAGATGGTCGGCCTTCGATGGGATATTTTCATACCGAAAAGGAGTCATTCGTTTCTCATCATGATGCACCACTCCTGCAGATTCCTTGTGTTGCACCAGGTTCTCCGTATTTCGCATAAATGATAATTCCGAAACATCATACTGTCTCAGACCCTCTTGTTTTCTTATCTTTCGTCTAATGTATTTTATTGAAGGAACGGGACAAATGGGCGGACTGGGCTTCCGCATCATTTTCCTTAAGAAGAGATCCTTGTGCCTTGGTGTTGGCGAGTGAGCTACAGGTGTCTCACACCCACTCTTGTTCCCATCTTCATTTCGCCTGTGGGTTTCGTTTATGTTTAGCGGAGGGCTAGCCATTCCGGACTTTTCGAACGCATTGGAATCTATGTCAGGCATGCGGAACTCATAGATCGCCGTACTGGCAGCAGGTTGATCCGACAAGGTGATCTTCTTGAGACTTTCCATTACAGTGCATCTGTGTGAAGCCATCTTAGGCTTGAGAATCTCTCCACAGACATGGGAAACTGTTTCCAAGGTGTGGATTCGTCGCCAATGGATGGAGACTTCTGTCTTCATGCAGCTATGCGACAACATATGCGGTTGTATAGTCCTTCCGTCTATAGGTAGGTATGCATGGGGTGTTTTGTGAAATTCCTCTTCAAGATTGCTGCCTTCTGATGAGATATATCTTAGAAGCCTCTGGTCTGATGCGGCTTTAGAAACCGGGTTTGGTACTGTCTGAGAAGAGTCTTCAAAGTCTCCTTCGGATTTCATTGGTGTGATCGAATGATTACTAACAAGAGAATCGGGCTTATATTCTATCATCTCTTTGGTGCAGGTCGGCTTAAGGCCTTCCCGATTCAATTTTTGCTTAGCTAAATTAGTTCTGGGACAACAGTGAAAAGTTCTATAGAGTTTACCAGTCTTATCTGGAACTCTCAATGAGTTAGATGGCTGTTTGCCGAACAGCTCTTTAGAGACTTGACAGATTTTCTTGGCTGGCATTGCGATCTTGCTAGTACTACGATAGGGGCCTACAAATTCCTTGGGTTCTTTTTTAGGTGTCTGCTTGACAATCTTTGCTCTGGAATTCTTATTTGGCATAGCAGCATCGCCATCGTTTCGGTGATGTCCGCATTTGTCGCACACCGATGATGCGGACTCTGCTCCTAACTTTGATTTCCATACCGGAGACATCCCACTAGCCATTGGCTTTGCGCCCTCCCGCTTCATACCGGCTGTCCTGCACACCCTATTGGCGGGTTCATGCAAGCCGTGGGTGCTGTTCAATTTTTTTGATAAGACTTTTGAATACTTTGCATCGGTCTGAGATTTATTTGAGGAAATTACACGTTCATTAGATACATCCTTGTCAGGTGGGTTAGCTGATCCATTGGACTCCGACTCCGACTCGGACTCGGACTCGGACTTCAGTTCTTCGTTCTCTGCAGCGCAATCTTCATTAGGTTCAGGACTGGACAGGCTCAGGGATTTCATCATTTGTTCGACTTGATCCACAAAAGACTTTGTAAATGTCTTCTCCACCAAAGGATCGCTCTTCTTTTCTGCTTTTACTTCTTTCTCTTCAAAGTCTAATAACTTGAATGCTTTCGGGGCGATGGGCTGCCCGTTGTTGATATCTTTAGAGTCATCACGTAAGAGCGAGGATGGTTTCATATACATTTGCTTCGAGTCCGCGGCGGAAGCGCCCTCTTGCAAGTCAGAAGAGACGAGCAATAGGGGGAGCAGATGTCGATCGATCTTCGTGTTCAGCGCCATGGGGGTCTGCAGCATGATGCGGGCACTGTCTACGACAAGTGCATCCTCCGACGGCCCCTCGTAGGAGTCAAAGGGGCAAAACTGGCTTTCCATTTGGTTCTCGGCCTCAATCGAATCGTCACCTAATCCGCCACCTTTTTCACGGCCCTTGTCTGCCTCTTGTTCAGCCATAATTGAGGCCACCACTTTTGACAGGGGTGGCAGCGGGCGGCTGGTGCCAGCGCGCAAACGTGACGCGAAGCTCATGTTTCGCTTGGAGATTGCCCCGCCAGATGGATCCGTGATGGGTGTCTTCAGGGGAATGACCAAACGTTTTCCGTCCACCCGGGTTGTGAGGTCCCTGGGCAAAGGCTCCCACATGGACTCGAATGCGAGTTGCAAAGACTTCAGAGACGAAGACGATGATGGTGGCGCTGCAGTTGGTTTCGCAACTGAAGTTTCGCGATCTGTAGCCCAAGTTTGTAGCCCAAGACGCCACTTCGGTACGTCTTCTTTGGGAGTTGGAAAGTACCCGGCTAAAGGCTTCTTCTCGGCTCCTGGCTTGGCCATTCCCCCGCACTTGAGGCAATTCTTCTTGCAGTTCTGCACTGAACATGGCTTCTTGGCTCGCTTAGGCACCTTGAGGCGGACACCACTTTGGAGCGCCTCCTCGGCACGTCGTCGCTCTAGAAGCATCTTCTGCCGTAGGTTGGCGGCGTACTCCTCTTCGTCGCTGGAGCTGGGATCGGTTTTAGGACGCCGCTCCAGTCCGCACAAATCGCAGCGGCGGTTGCAGTCCAACGGAATGTGCAGCACTGCTCTCGGCAACTTCTCGCAAACGCACCACTCTTTGATAGTTTTTTTGGTGTCGTTGTCCATAGTTTTCAGAAAAAGCGTGTAAAATTTATAGAAGCGAATCATAAAATGAAAGCTGCGATGACTCTTCAAAGTATTATCCAGTGTTGAACAAGGCAGATTTGTCAGTGCTACCCATTTGAGTCGAACTATCTGAAGGGTTGTATGTGTCGGTGATCGAAAATTTTGAATTGAATTATTTAGTTTCCGTTTTTCTACGTTTCCTCTTCTAGATTTGACAGAAAACCCAGACCGATACAAAAATTGCACAGAACGTGACTGAAGAGCCCAACGAACCGTATCTTTTAATCGTTCATATACCTGATTTTCGCCTACCATGTCACAACAAAAGTAACCCAATCTACTCATTCATTCGTTATCGAAGCTTCTATCTGTGTTGGTCCTCGAAATATTCCCATTACTATTCCCTAATTAAACTGTAGCCAAGTTATTCAACCCAGTCGGGCTTCAAATTAACTTGGCTTTGTTTGGGTTGGCCGTAATTGAACTTTCCTCTTGCCGCATGGCTGCGATTGTGCATAAATATGCATGTGTGTGTGTGTGTACGTACGTGTTTCTTACGCTCACCGGATTAGGGAATTTAATTAAATTTCAATTGCATTTTTAATTTACTAGTGTGTACACATATGCAATCGAGTATTGCATTTTTTGAGCTATTGTCCGACTTGAACAACTCTTCATTAAGGCACAAACTCTTGGACTGGCTGCGTCCTTCGAATGCCTCGAATGCTACAGCAACAGCAGCAGCTACACTGCAGTATATTGTACTCGAATTAAATATAAATGTACTTGCACACTCGCCCACTTCCTACGCAGATTAGTTGCATGCCAGTCTAAGTGAAATTTCATGTTTAATATGCAGTTACTGGTGTGGCTGGGAGTGCAAAGCACACATGTACTCGGACTCTGCATGCATTTATTGACATATTCTGCCTTGGAATATACTGAATATACGGAATCCATGGAATTTATTTTCATTTTTCCCTGCGATAAATATTAACAATGAGATTCAAGACAGAGCCACACACAAGCACACACTTCTTACCTTCGGCACTATCAGGATTAATTAACTAGATGGCACTTGATTGATTGGCCTCATCTCTCGGACTCTCTCCGTTTCAGCCTGGCATTGGCCTGGCCATTTCCCCGTCGCTTGCAAAGTCAATAAACACATTAAAAGCGCATTGGCCCAGACGACTCACGAAATATTCTGCATCTTCGGCTATTGATCAGCGCATCCAAAGGCGTTGCACAGTTAAGGCGTTTGGCAGGAAATTTATGTACTCAAATCAAGCGAAACTATAAATTATAGAGCAGTCGTTACCCCGTAGCTGGCGGAACTTAGTATGTATTGCACGTTCCTCTGGCCATTTTGAATTACATGCCAGCTGTCCGGGATTTATACGCGCCATTGGCCATAAAAATATTATTCCCAGACGTCTGCAGCCCCCCGAATACGGAATAAATTCGAATCGGCGCCTAATTGTTCGCCATAGATTGTATTGAAATACAGTTGGGGACAACGCATACGGCTCTGACTCTGACTCCGACTACGACTGCGGCTGCGACTCCGACTCCGGCTACGACCAGGACGACGTACACGAGGGAGCAACAAAATTATATACTCCCCTGGTAAAGGCATTTTAATGCATTTTTATTGCGATACTTTTAGCGTCATTTCATTTTCGGCATTTTCCTTTGCCATGGAATTTCCTCTTCGTTGCCTCCGCTTCTCTTTCCTGCTCTCCTGCGTTTCTTTGCTTCGTTTTTTAATTTTTGTAATTTTTTGGCGTGCCTTTTAGTTGGCGTTTATTGCACATCCTTCTGCATTTAAAGAACGGATGGTGGTCCGGAAATTTAATGTGTGGCAACTATTTGAGGCATGCACATACTCGTACGCATGCAAAACGGGTTTATTGGGGTCGGATGGAGTCAGGGTTGGGGCGTGCAGGCGGAAAGAATATTTCGCATGCAGCTGGAGTCGTCCAGAAAATTCGTTGCATATTTTAGGTGGCCATTGAATGTTTGCCGGGCTCCAGCCACTCATTGGGCGACGGGAATATGCTCGCACTCCTTCCCAGATCAAAGGTAATGAAATGTACAAGTTATCCAGAACAGATACTCCAACAGATACTGGCAACTATTTAATTTGCCATACAACTGGGTTCGTGGTCGTACAGTACTACTACTACTACATCCACTCCGACTGGGGGCGGTCATGAGCAGATACTATTTCATCAGAACCTTGGCCACATTCCGGAGGAGCAATTCCATTCGTCCGCTGTCAAAGTCAGGCCTGCTGCTCCAGTGGGTGCTGGAGGGGGGCGTGGGGAAATTCCAATTGTATATTAAATACTTTCCATTAAGTTTAAAGCAAATTTTAATTACAATCCCGTTGCTTCCGCCATTTAACACAAAAACAATTTCCGCCGCCCATACATATTTTAGATCAAATATTGCAACTGCTGCATGGCTCTGACTGAAGGGACAGCTGCTCGTTGAGCGTACTTTGGGGTTGGGTGGCGGATAGGGTGTGAGTGGGGTTTCGCGTGGGGAGGGCGGGGGCATGGGTGTTGAGGGAGTTGCCTAAATGGCTTTTTTTCTACTCTGCTGGGCGGTTGGGCTGCCATGAAATGTGAAAGTCAGTTCGTGGATACGTGACTTGAGCGTGTCTGTGGTCGGTGGCACAGGAGGGGATTGGGGGGCGGCCCCGTGTGTGAATGTTGCACAAACGCATCCTCTGTTTACTTATTTAACACAATTTTCACATTTCATAATTCAAGTCGGAGGGTTAGAAGTGGCAGCCAGCAGCCAGCAGACAAGCATGCCACCGCACTCAGCGTGATGGGTATGTGTCTGGTGGTAGGCAGTGCCAGTGGGCGGGAACTGTTGCGGCACGCATGCGTAACCTTGCCTCGGGGCGTGGATGTTGGTCTCCTGGCAATCTATATTTTTTTTTATTTACTTATTTATTTGTATTTTGCCATTTTATGCTACACTGCAGTTTCGGTGCTGCATTTTTTGTCCGAGATAAGTGGAAAGCGCTGTCGGGAGAGCTCGCCGGATCTCCGAATGCAGCGACAACCTTGAAAAGCACTCAACAAATAAAAGCCCCAAACACCCTTCGGTCACAATTATGAAACCGGCAGGAGTTCATCTGATTGCCGAGGCAACTCACGTCTGAGCACTCACGGGCCTGACTTATGATTCCTTTGAACACTTTGAGCCTTGCAAGTTGCAACAGAAAAACGGAAAAACGGAGAAACGGAAAAACTTGGTCCTGATGTTTGCACATTGCACAAGGATTGCACATGTGCCTGGGGCTGCAGAAATCAAAGGTCTGCTCGTGACTTCATGTATGTCACGAAATTATGTCCTAGATTGAATTTGATTGATTTCAGGCAAAGACCAGCCCCAGTCTTCGATCTGAGAGGACGAAGGTAGTGGAGAACTTACCTCACGACCTCTTGAATAACTGTTAACGTAGAGGATCGCTGGGGAGTCCATAAAACGCAGCTAATGGAAGCCAAATATTGCTCTGGCCATTTTTTTAGAGAGTTCCCTGCGAGGGCTAGTTTGGTTTTTTTCCGGCTGGTCCGCAACTTCCGCGCTCATAAAAGCACTCCTAAAGGTAATTGTTTAAAAATGGTTTTATTCAGTTATGGCGCAGGGTCCAACGTGAACACATACGCCACACCCCATACCCCCTACCCCCCACCCCATTGTCCATAGATCGCATGTCTAGTCATGTGTGCGCCCTGTCCATGTAAATTTAAGCAACTCTCCAAACTAACAACCGACGCAAATTGCTGCTGTTGCGGTTTATTTTGTGTTGCAAAAATATGCAGTACCCATCCCCATCGTCAGCCCCCCTGCCACTGTCTGTCTCCTCTCCCTGACATCTGCCTCTACAGCTCTAGTCTTCCACTTTCCGCTCCGGCAGCAGAGGTGCGGACTCCTCTTGTGGCGCATTGTTTGGCTTGACTTTTTGTTGCCCGTTCCCTGTTCCCCGTTCCCCGAACGTTGTTGCGTTTGTTGGCTGTTGGTTGTTGCTTGTCGTGATGTGTGTTTGGCTGGCTTGTTATTTTACCCAAAAGCTGTTAAATTGCTAGAAACAAAACAGGGCCGGGCAGGGCGTCGCGGCGTGGCGTGGCCGGACACTTTATGAGAAGAAGTTGCTATGTGGCCACATAGCATCGGCCACTGGCAGAGGGGCTGCGTCCATGCCTGCATTAGGCCATAAATATTAAAGCGGGTGTCAAAAGGAATATGTGGTGCGAAATGCTTTGAATGCTGCTTACAGCCAGTGGGCTGCTGGGTAACGTGCGTTTCAAAAGCGATATGAGCACTGCCACCCCCCCACTCCACTCCCCCCGAGGGCAACTCCGCGAACGTGCCCAGGCTGATCCCTTGGAGCCGGCGATAGTGAAGAGCTTCAATCGAGCCATAGTTTCCTTAACCCTCGCAATAAATCAAAATGAGCAAATGCGTGGGTGCGTGGATGTGTCCCTCATCTGGCAAGCCATATTTCATTGTCCCAATGTCCCGGAAAGTTTTCATTTAACAGAGAATTAATTAAAATTTTTCAAAAACTTGCGTGCTCACCTTGAGCGGCACGCCCCTGGGGACTGGAGGTTGTGCCACCCACAAATGTTTTAATCAAAAATCTTAGCTGAACAAAATGAAAAGCGTACTTTTTTTCAGGAAATGGCCAAAGGATGGCCATTTTTTTTTTGCTTCGTGCTCGAAAGTATTCTTAACAAATTATTCAAGACCAAGTATCTTTCTTAGTGTGCAAGAAATTACTTTTTATTATTTATTGTATGCTGAGCCCTTTTTGCGATGTGTTAAGAAATTACTTGGCCCATTCCATGGCAGGCAGCAGAGCACAGCCTGACATTGAACTCCGGAACTACTGGGAGGAGGGCGCAGCGCGGAGGATTTTTTATTAAGTTTCAAACGCTCAAGAGCTTTGCATTTTATCTGGCTGCCAGCCTTTGAGCGGGCTTGAGCTTAACTTTTGGACTACTCAAAGTATCGAGCCTTTCTTATTTGTTATGAAAACTTCAAGTTGGCCAAAGAATGGGGGAGGGGCTGAGCACGGCAGGGCACGGCACGGCAGAGGGAG